GGCCAAAAACATAAGATTGGGCTATAAAACACAAATCTGAATTGCAAAAGAGGAAATAAAATTGATTTTTTCAATTATTCCGTGGCATTAGTGTGAGTGACACCCCTAGCTCCATTCGCGCTACTAAGTCAATCTGCAAACTATTATCTGAAAAAGGGCCAAGTCGAGCTCGATAAATTTGAGGAAATCTAACAAGATTTCATGCAGCCGCGCACAATTGAAAGCAATCAATCACAAGGTATAAACAGCTGATAATGAGAAACATAATCTCAGGGACAAATCATTACGGCACCTCGTTACAACACCTCGATTGAATTATCCAAACAATTCCTGGTGAGTTTCGTTGCACTTCCAGAGACAACTTTTCCTCCAGGTTCCCCCTTTGCTTTCACTCGAAAATGAAATCTGAATAATAAACAACTGCTCCATGAAAAAAAGGAAGAAACAAATTCATTTACAATGTCGTAGGTTACCTAGCCAAACTAGATTGCAACACTGTGGTAGCAGTGGACGTTTCTGCTACAGTGTATTTCCTGTCCCGATTTCGTGGGTCATGATGGTTCAACGAGAGACAAGCACCTTTGAAGTTAATTCATTGTCGATGCCGCAAACAATAATGACTCGCTCAAATTTGATTATGCAGCTAATTAGGAAGGGTCCCTCACGAGGCAATCTATCAACACTTTAATACAAATGCCATTCGCCGTTTCCAACATGGTTATTAATGTTCTTCTGATTAAAGCCCTTCATTCCGAGACTTCTCCCTTCTCGGCAAAAACTTCTTGACTCAACCCATGGAGAAATGTGCATTCGTAGGAGAATTCCGTTCACGTCCCGTCCTCATGGGGCTATGTGTATAAATTTGTTTCTCCGACAATTTCAAGATCCTAAATACGAGAATCCTTGAGTAAAGTGGAAGGTGGAAAGAAATTACGGGGAGGAGCTGCAAGTACCTTTGAGAGGCGAAGTTATTCCAAATTGATAGAGTTGATTAATCTCGGGTGTTTTGATGAAATTTGAATAAAGCCAAAAACAATTTGGCCACTCTGTTCGATGGCAGAAATGACTGGAGCTTTTGAATTCATCTATTTTTCACCATGTAATCAAATATTTTTGGGAAGCAGCATACTGTAGCAAAAGAATTTTTTTTTTATATTTTCAGTAGATTTTATTGAATAATACTGTTTGGGCCTATAAAACAATACACATTCTTATAACATGGCATTTCTTTGTACAGAAGAACTGACCAACACATTTTCAAAAATATTATTTTGTGTTCATTTCCACAAAACTGACAAATGTTTCATAAACTGAATGTTTCATGCAAATGAAATAGTTTCTGTCATGCAGAAGTGACGACTAAATTCATTTCAGAGTATAAAAACGCCACTTTTAAGCATTAAATATTCTCCTTGTGATTCAACAATAATTATAGCAATGTCGGACATAAAAACTCAAACCCAAAGCTGTCACATACTTGTAGTCTGACATGTTTTCTGTTTATATAAAGTACAAATATGTAAACAACCTCAAAATAAAACCACACAAATCTCGGTGAATCTCCCATTCCAGTGTTTTTCTCAATCTCTGTGGGCCTGAAAATCCCATCCGAGTGTAATGGCAAAGGCCTGAATAAGGACATAAAGCTAAATTGATTCTTAACTGCCAATCTATGCCTGCTACAAGAAAGAGTTAACACTGGCAGATTAAATTACACTTTAAATCACTCCTCAAATATTTCTCTGTATTTTATGAGGGCTGATTTACACTATCATAACTGGGAATCGCACATTAGCTTGGTATTTCCAAGCTGTCCATAAAAATCGTCTGCGTTCGTTCAATTAATATGCAAATTGAATAGTAATAAGACAAAATCCGTAGTGGCACTGACGCAACAAGTGATCAGACAAGCTTGACAGAAAACCAATGAGTGAACCACAGTGGATAGAGAGGGGATACAATGGAGAGGGGGTTGGGGGGATTTGTGCCGTGTAATGGCTCTCTGTGGCCTTATCATACTCTTGGAAACAATGTGGCCACGATTCAATTTCCTAGGTTGTCAGAATGCGAATTTCTTTTGACCTTTTACCTACCTGTAATGCATATTGTGTATATTTGTACAAAATTCAATAATTAACAGTTTGGACTGTGATAATATTTTGATCATTTTTTATTATTTATTTCTTTTTGTATAGAGTTCTTCTATATTTTCATTATTTGTAAGCAGAATGACCATATTTGTTCCATATTAAGATATTAACTCAACAGTGAATAATTAAAGCACATTATTGCATTGTTATATTGTCACAATAAACATAACATTTTTGCAAAGTATTCATATTTCCAAATAAACAAAGCTTTTGATATATGCTATTTGGTTACTCCTGTTGATTAATTGCATGTGAACAAACACTTTTTCCTACAATACCTGAACATATAACAATTGTGTGAATTCATAAACTACTCAAATGAATTTAAAGAACTCTTGTTCTTTCATATTACATTTGTACGATTGTTTATCTGTCATTCATTGACAGATAAACAATAGTAATATAACAGAAATTAGTTGTCTCATTTACGCCATGATATATCAACTATGGTAATATGAAAGAATCAGGAGTTCTTTCATGTCATTCCTTAGCTTCTTTCATGCTATGAAATCAACTATTGCAAAATGAAATTGAGCAGTATAAATAACAGTCATTCAAACCACTGTGTGTTTGATAACATCATGTGCACACTTTCCTTTAGAGGTATACGTAGACTTGCACAAGTACTAATAAATTGTTTAAATGATAATTTCTAAAACAATTTATAAATAACACACTGGGGTCCACTTGCCTCTTTAAAGGATAGAATTACTGTACATGCATGGTCTTAGCACTCAGTACAGCCTTGGAGCAAGGCTAAGGTATATATAGAAACCATACCTGGTCAATGACTGACTGACTGACTGAGTTTGGTTTTACCCCGCTTTTAGCAATATTCCAGCAACATCATGGCGGTGGACACCAGAAATGGGCTTCACATATTGTACCCATGTGGGGATTCGAACCTGGGTCTTTGGCATGACGAGCCAATGCTTTAACCATTAGGCTACCCCAATGCCCCCCTGGGTCAATGAAACAAACCTTAGCATTCAGGTCACTTTGTTGAACAGTGAGTGAGTTTAGTTTTAACAATATCCCAGCAATATCCCTGCAGGAGACACCAGAAATGGGCCTCACACATTGTACCTATGTGGGGAATAGAACCAATGTATTTGGTGTGACGAGTGAACGCTTTAACCACTGAGCTACCACACTGCTCCTTGTGGAACAGAGCACAGGAATTTTTCAAGAAACTTTTTTTTCCACAGTCTAAGTTAATTGATGGGATTCATAATATTAATACTTGCATTGTTGTATTAGATCTTATCACAAAGACCAAACTAACCTTTAAACTTACTTACAACAGTTGTAACGTTGAGAACCCTTTGAGAATTGCCGCTTTGAGTTATGATTGTCTTCATTCCAAGTTGGCTTACTGGAACCAGTTCAAGGACCACACTCCATAAATCAACCCTAGTGCTGGGACAGTCACGCATAGGATCCTTCAGAACAGCTGCACTAAGATCGCTTTGGTGAATGGTCCTCTGGCTGTCCTCATAAAGGGCCACACATTGCTAATTAGGCTAACAAATGCAACCTCAAACACTTCATCCTAGGCTGAGGTTTTCCAGTGTGAGGAAAATATAAACGATCTGATTACATAATGGCGAAATCATAAGGATCTGTTGATTCGCTTTGGAGAATGAATGGATTTGAGTGATTTCTTCTTAAACCATATTGAGTTTGAGATAAAATTTCTCCACAATTTTGCATAATGACCTCAAGTTGCATCATTTTTACTTCCTAAAATTCTCTTTAAGGATGGATGGCCTGTGAATTCCTGGTTCACAATCAACTGCAACAATACAGTGATATCATCGTAATGGTTTAACTGACAGACAGACAGACAGACAGACAGAAACTTTTATTGACACAAGCCATGATAAATGGCCTCTGGCCATATACATAATATTTTGAAATGCTATCAAGATAGCGAGGATGTAACAAATAATAACTTTTTATGCAGATTGATAGTTTCGTAGCTGGAAAGCTTTATACACGTATGTTGCTAAGTTTCTTAATTCTTTTACATTATTTGTAGAAAATAATTGAAGAAATATGTAAACTGAATGTTGTTTAAAATAATATTGCTTTAAATATTTACTTCTTAGATTCCTGTAGATTGGGCATTCAATGATAAAGTGATATTCATTGATTTAACAAGCAGGTATGGTGTGCCTGAGTTTGTGGCTACACTAACAGGAAAATATTGATAATTCTTGAAACTGCAATTCCAACTGTGTCAAGACATAATTTGACACTGATGTTAATAACGGATGAAATATCAGATGTCATTTGTGTTAAACAAGACATTGATATGTCCCAGTCACTAAATATTCCTTTAAGAATAAACACTTTAAAGATACCGGGTTGAGCATTATGTCTGGTGAAATAACTTCAATATCACCCACCCCAAGAATGAACTCTTTAAAGATACTTGGATCAGCATCATATCTAATGGCATAACTTCAATATCACCCACCCCAAGATACTGGGTTGACCATTTTGACTGGTGAAATAACTTCAATATCATCCACACCAAGAATAACATTTTAAAGACACTGGGTTGAACAGTTTGACTGGTGAAATAACTCCAATATCATCCACTGCAAAAATAATACTTTAACGACACTGTGTTGAGCCTTATGTCTGGTGAAATAACTTCAAGTTCACCCATCTCACCTTGTGTTTTTGGTGCAAATGCTGGTAATGGCATGGTGAACATGTACTGCTGTACTTAAACTCAGGTTTATGGTAGTTTGTACTGTTGATCCAGGTATATAGGCTGCTACATTGTTGGTAGTTATACTTATATACTTCTGGACCCATAGCAATAAATACTATAGCTACCTGTAATATGTGTGTCCCCTGATGTGTTTCAAAGATCTCCATGGCAACCGCAGACAAGTTTCTTCGTCTTGACGGCCCTGGAACAAAAATAAATGCAGTTTAATTTCGGGTAAAGTCGGTGAAGACCTACTCCATGTGAAGGGGGCAATATTTGCACACCATGGCGGAGAACATCAGAACAGACTTCACACATTGTACCCATGTGGGGAATCGAAATTGGTTCCTTGTTGTGATGAGCGAAAGCTTTTACCACTCAGCTACCCCACCATTCTTGAGTGAGTAAGAAATGGCTCTGCTTCCCATATGGCAAATTCTTGCATACCTTTTGAAGTACAAATGTTTCTATTTGCAATTTTATCAGGTCAGTGGGTTTTTCAAATTGTTCATTTAGGGTTTTTAGTTGTTTTCAAAACACCTCCACCAACTTTTGGATAGAAAGACACAAATAGTCAACTCTTGATGCAACAAAAACTCAAAATACATTTCGTTACATCCAAAATTCAATATTCACTTTAACTAAATTGTATGACTGTCCTGAGATTGTGTCACCTTGACCATCTATTCATGATACCTGACACTGTTAATTTGGACTGTTAAACAAAACAATGTACTCCTCAAAACCCTTCATTAACAGAATTCGGTTATCATAATTATCAAAGAAACACCTAATTCTGTTTTATTCCCCGAACACGACTTCCAATTAATGCCAATTCTTGACCAAAGGCACCGAGACAGGGCTACAGTCAAGAGCGTCTGATCAATTATACACCAAATTTCTTCCAACAAAAACATAATTTCAGTGTCTGCCCAAACCAGAGGACTGTCCGCCACTATATGCTAAACTGTAGCCTGTCTATGGCATACTGTCACCAGGGGAATGTTAGATGACATGAATCAGCCTTATGCCTCCGGGACAATCCAACTGTGCGGCCATACTGTCATCATAGGCCTTGATAGCAGAAATAAAAGACACAAAAACAAAAATGGTGACATTTCTGACACTAATAGATAATAATCTGAATATACAATGTCAAACAGCATGATTCAGATGGAATTAATGATTAATAAAGCATCGTTATGAGTTTCCTTTGAATTCAAGTAAAAGGAGTTGTTGATTTATGTGATTAAATGACTGACGTACCATGACCAGTTTACTGCTTCAAGAAGTGGACCGGCCATGATATACTCATCTATAAATTATTTAGCTTTAAGGAAGATTTGGTACAGATTTTATTGCAAGAATATATTAGTGGTTAACGAAAAACACCCATAAATCTGAAAGTAACGTCCTTGTCTCTTGTCACAACTGTGCCTTTATCAAAGTACCTTATTCAATTCAAGATAATCACACTTTCTTGCATGTAATACAAACATACATGGTAAACAATTTAACCTAAGACACTTCCACAATGATACAAACAGCAATACAGGGACTTCAATAGATAACTGACTCAAAACAGCAACGGCCAGAGACGGTGCAGGGATTCTCACTGCTTTAGTTGTGGCATTTTTCAGCACAGGTACTAAACTAATATGCTTTGTACAAAGTAGGTATACTTCTGTCCAGACAAATGTACTCCAGATACCATACTGAAAACACACACACTAAAAAAAAGTACCTGTGGTACTGAAGCTGGTTTTATAGTGCTAGCCCACTGAGATACCATGCCGCAGTGAAGCATGAATATCCCACTCAGACACATTATACTGACTCCGAGCCGACCAGTCCTTGTACCCATTAATGCCGAGCGCCAGGCAGGGACCAACAAGTACCATAATTTAACGTCTTTTTGGTATGACGCGGTCTGGGATCGAACCCGCGACCTTCCGCTCTCCGGGCGGACGTTCTAACCACTACACCACGGAGGCGGTCGGTATACCTGTGTACATGTAGTGGACATAAAACACTGGGACTAAGAACCAAGGCCATTCTAATCCGAAGTCCACATGACCAAAGGGGTTAACCCCGTCAGCATGCTGACAAGATAAGGATGTCATCTATTGGATCATTCCACACCATGCTACATACAGAAAGCAGAGATGCCAACCCTGAATCTAAGGAAAATGGAGTCATGACTGGCTGAAAGCCAGGTCTGAGCACCAAAGGTACAAGTTTGGGGCGAGCGTGTGGTCGGTTTTGCCACTTTGTTTCACTTTCATACCGACTGTGACATGCATTCGGAAAAACTTTGTGAAACTTCATCATCAATAACAAGCAAGATATACAATCAACACCCAAAGGATCACACGCTAAGCTTCTGAATGCTTTTACCAGTGTTCACTCAAATAAGTCACCGGTGACTTACGAAATTGTTTACCGTAAAAATATATTCAGAATTTGTTCTAATGACAAACTTTTTTTTTAGTTTTTTAAAGAGAAATCGGAGAGCAGATTTTGTATTTGATTTTGTATTCATGCTTAACTGCGGCATGGTATCTCAGTGGGCTAGCACTATAAAACCAGCTTAGGTCTGGGATAGTACAAGCACCCACACATACACATTGTGGTATGAGCGAAATAATCTTAAGTACGACGTTAAACCCAATTTCATCTCACCCAATTTTGAATAATTTAAAAATCAAATACATCAGAGATCAGAAAAAAGTATTCGCAAGTTTCACAATAACAAGCATTTATTGAAACTAGTTTTATCTTATATATATATGTTTTGGTACTTATAACACTAATATGTTCCATGCTAAGTTGCCTCAGTCTCATGGTTTGGTACAATGAAAAATGTTCCATAAATGTTGTGGAAAGAAAACACACTCAAGCTCAAGATTTTTGCAAAATCAAAGAAATACTAACGCAACATTTCTTTGACTGAAAATATACATAATCTTGTTTCGTGTAGATATAAGACCATATATTTCAGTAAAGGTTTTAGAAACTGTAACACAAATCAACCCCTAGATACATTGTAATTAATTAACTACTCTGATTTTACAGTTATGCATATAATTATCTCTACTACACGAGACTTATCAGTTGAACCAAGGTGACATACGACCAAAGCGCCAAAGTGATTTACTTTAAACTTGATACATCATAGAATCATTGCTGGATGGTTTGGTTGCAAAAACCCCACCTTTTGACAGGTATTTTTGAAAAGAAAATAGAGCTGAATTAGTAAATGTCATAGCAGACAATAAAATTGATTAGACCTCCTTAAAAAGTTTCAGTTGTAATTAGAATAATTTTTAAAACCTCACTTTAATCATGAAATATAGAAAAAACAAGATGCAGATATAGTTAAATGGAAATATATAAAAACACATTCCATTAAAACTAAACCTTGTTAAGTCAAATAGTTTCTCTAAAGATAATCTATTTGGAAGTAAATTCCAAGTATTATCAAGTTGATTGAAAAGTAAAACACGCTCAATTTCATCTGAACAAAACCAAACTAACACAAAACCCGAAAAACTAGTTTCCAACAATACTAAATCTGAGAATCAATCTAAAATAAAAACAATTCCAGCAGAAATATGAGTATTTGATCATCTTGGCGCTATTTACCACCAAAGAAGAGTTCTGGAGAGCAAAGACGAGGAGATTGGAGGGCAATTGCTTTCTCAATAAACAGTTATCATTCGTAATATCCGTGAAGTTAAAATGTTTTATTATGCAGTAATTCTCACATCGCTGGACCAACAAAGTTATCTTCTTTTACCATGGGACTGTTTATCATCCCTAACTTGGGAGTGAAATCGCAGGGAGAAGCTTATTAATTTAGAATCTTGACTTTGTGAGTTCACCGCCACCCTCACTCAATTTGCCTTGATGCCAACAAGCCAAAGGACGCCAACTTAAACCGGCTGTGATGACGGTCATAAATGTCAAAACTCAACCACTAAATATCCCCTTATCACCACCCAGTTTATCTAGGAGGGGGAGTTTTCTGGGGAGACTTGCTTTTCTTGGAGTGGCAATAGTGTGGTTACCTTAGTATCTCCTGCCACGATCTTTAACTTATAGTCCATATCAGAAAATGTCCCTTATCTGCTGTAGTTACATGAATGGGCAAACCATGTCATTCACAGACTGCTGAGCTACTATCGCTGGCAAGGAATCGGCCATGGAGATCTTTATATCCCATTCACACATGGTGTTATAGAATTGTTTATTGGACATTTTGATGGTATATTCTGATGAAGTTACCTTTAACTATTTAGATTTCATTATTTTGGATGATTTCATTCAGAGATATTCAGTCTTACTGACAGGGATTTTCTTATCTCAAGATTATTGCTTTTGTAATGGATGTTGTCGGTAAACAGTAAATATTTGATTAAAGGTAGAAGAACTTTCAATCTGACAGGTAGATGCAGAGTGAGTGAGTGAGTGAGAGTGAGTGAGTATGTCAATTTCATCATATATTCTTTACCTGGGTTCATCATCTTCTCTAGCATTGGTCTTCATATGAATTATGAATATGTGACCCTACAGATTAAATTAGAAACTGTACCCAACTCAAGTCCAGAATAATTCAGAAAGTCTAGCCTGGCTCCTGCAATAAACCACTGTTCTGCATTCGTAACTACTCACCTCTTTCCGTGACCTACAAGAAGGCTTGTACCCCTATCGTATGCCATTTTTGCCAAGAATCGTGGCAAACCAATCAAATCCTGCGTAGTAAAACGCATTTCGAAGCATGAAAATGGCGGCATCGTTGAAGTTTGAAACTTCGCTAAACAATGCAAAGCACAATTTAAACATAAACTTTGAGGTAAAGGATCAGAAACTTTAAACACCGAAACATATATTTACAAAGGGAATGACTGTATTGCTGTTTTGCCCACGGAATATAGGATATTCTAGGAGCCATGTTTGGAAATTCAGAGTTATCTTTCCTTGGTAATAGTACTAGACTATTTTCATCTCCATGCCCGTTTGCGCTTAGACAGGGCCCAGTCGTAAACATGTCCACGAGAGGGGTACGAGACACCATCCGGCTTGCCGGAATGACACGAGTAGTTACGAATGCACTGTTCTGGTCTCCATTTGTGTTTTATTTTCTATTTGTAGACATATATTTAATAAGTAGATATAATTATGATCTTTATTCAAACTTTT